GGGGGGGGGGGGGGGGGGGGGGGGGCGGAATTTCCCCATTCTAGTGACATTTATATCTAACCGTACCTTTACGGTTCGCTCTGACATCATATCAGGCGAGCTTTTGCGAGCTATGGTTTGTTGTAGACGAGACGCTGTGGAGCCAAAATATCCACGGCCACTACCAGGTCTGTGACTGATATCACAGGATATCAGAACAGTGGAAATGACCTCTGATTGGCTATTTGCTAATTTGGGTACGATAACGTAAAGAAATATACGCTGTTGAGGACCCTTAACCTGTTAACAAAGAAATGTTTCTCCTGGACCTAACGTTATTGACTGTAAATTTAGACTTTGGTTAGGGTCAGGGTTAGGGTTATAATTAACAATTAGAAGTCAGATGCCCCTCAGTAACTTTATCTGTTTTTTTTTTCTTTCCTTTCTTTGTACTGCAAACAACTTGACGGGGCCATTTATACCCTTTGATCGGCATTAATCGATTGTGCTGAAATGGCACTGGCTAAAGCTTTTAAAATGTCGAGTTTTTTGGTCCAAATGTCTTACACGTTGGGCAAAGACGTTCTTTTTATGAGTCCACGCTAAGCGATGTAATGCAATTAGTGCTCATTCTTGATATGCTGTTATTTCGAATTGTTTTCTTAGGATATTAATCCACTCTTTGAAGTCATTAGCGCTAACGTTCAGTCGTTCAAGACATGCAGACGTTATTTGAATACCAGGAGTCACCCATCCAGAACCTGCCGAGACCTGAAACAGCTTAAACCCAATGTTACCAATGGTAAAGCAGTTAACGTTTTGTTAACTTATCTTTCAGCGATAACAAAAATCAAAATGAAGGTCTGATCATAGTTAATAGAGGGAAATGGTTAGGAAGGCCGGTAAACATCAAAGAAGAAAACAAACAGACTAAGATTTATGTTGGAAGGTCCTTGACCCTGTACATCGTTTAATTTTGTTTTATGCTCATCGATTATGCACGAATTACGAAATTGCAATGCTTCTATCGGTTAGTTGTATGAGCACGTACAACCATCTTTTGTACTTTGCCAGGTTTTGTGCAGGGTCAACCCCAAAATAGCAAACAAAAATACACAATAAACTTTGCCAGGTTTCCTAACCATTTCCCCCTTTTAACTATGGTCTGGTCTGATGTGCTTTCAATCTGGCTCTTTTTAAGGTACTTTTTCGCAATTTGTTCGCTTGGAAGACTCGCATTCCAAGGTCGAGGAGGCTCAACTGTGATAGTGTTTTAATTTTTTCCAAGGTCATTACTGGATCGATCCAAATGAAGGACCACCCGATGATGCAGTAAAGGTCTATTGTGATTTTGCCTTGAGCGCAACTTGTATTTATCCAAACAAAAGCAAGGTGAGATTAGAAATATAACGGTGAATCTCAAGAGGACAGGCCTTAATAGAGCTCATAATATTTTGGGACAACCCCATAAATACCAGATTGAATGCCTCAAATTAAGACGACTAGCGTATGGAATTGCCGTTTCTTTGTACTGGCACCAGATATCGGTGAGGATTGAAACCTGATAAGAGTTCGAAAAAAAAGTAACTAAACGAATAAGAAGTGAATTATTTAAACCTTCAGCTCAGTACATTTATCTGCGAAAAAATATATTTTGAAATCATTTAAAACTTTTTAAATATTGTAGCTCAGAGAAAGCCACGACACTTGCACGTGGATTGAATGTCACTAATATTATTGCAAGCCATATCTTATTCACGATTTTCATAGCCAACCGCATTCAACAGGTTAGAAAAATGAGTTAACGTGAAGTTTTAACAAAGGTTCCCCATTCATACCCAGACAGGAAATAAAAAGTGGTTCTCGGGAAATGACGGATACAAGTGGTTTGCAAAGGAATTTGATGATCGTCTACAGGTACAGATCTTGATTAAAGTTGTAAGAGGGTCAGTAATTATTATAACAGAATGTTATAATTGAAATCCAGTGGATCGGGTGAGTTCACCGAGGTAATACGTGAAAAATGGCGTCTCTAATGACGGCTAGTGACTTAGGTTAATAACGGCTCCCCGAGAGTAACGTTAAATTTTTACCTCCCTATTGAATCCCTTATAGGTAGGAATTTTTAAATCATTGTAATTATGTATACACATATTTTTTTTTGTGACTTTTTACATATTGTAACTTTGTATTGTTCATACCTTGTATTATACCTAGTTATTTAATAATTACTCGTAGTTTTTTAGCGCAGAGGGCCACTAGTTTATCAGTTTATACTGTCATGTGTCACCCTCTCTAAATAAAGTTGATTGATTGATNGTGTCAAATAGTAGTTAGTTTACTAAGCGTTTCGGGCTTGGACCTTCTTCAGTATATAAGATGAAGAAGAAGGGCTAAGCCCAGAACATTTAGTAAACCAGCTACTATTTGACACTTTCAAGAACCCGCTTTTCACCCTTTTAGGTAGTTTATGATAACGTTTGCGTAGAAAGACAAAAGTACACTACTTATTATTTCAACCGACTCTTCCATTTTTTTGCTAGAAAAACGTCACCAATGAAAAGCAATAATGCATTGTGGTGTCTCACAACCTACTCCATCGGGGGACCAAGGTTGGCTACTCAGGATAAAAATGACGTTCCGTTTGACAAGACGTTAGACGTGGCTTTCGGTGACGTAAACTATTTTTAGTTATAAGGTGTGGTGCTGCTTTACGGAGGCCCGGAGACCAAGTCCTCCAACAATTTTAATACATGAAGCATTGCTTTCAATTTCTTGGAAAGCTCAAACCAAGCCAAATTAGAAATATTAAAACGTTCTTTACGTAGAGTATCAGATTTGTTCTCAATTTCTTGATCATTTTCTCTCATTCAAAATACAAAACAATAAAGTACACTCCCCAATGTGCTGTTTATTATCGATTGAGTTCGTTTGGGTTCTGCAATCGAACACAATCGAACTTACCAAAACATCTAGCCAATCGAACACAATCGAACGCTCGGTAATCGAACCCTTATTCAATCGATCGAACACGTGAATTGAAGTTCGATTCGATAATCGAACGTTCTATTGGCTAAGCAGTGGCCTCATGGCTGGTTAGGGCGGTCGATTCCGGATCGAGCGGGTTATTCCAAGGTCACTCCAGTACTGAAAGTTAGCCCCTGGCTACAGTTTAGGCTCAATTTCCGGCCGTTTTGGAAGTTCCTTGTGGGGCAAGAAATGCGGGTTCACAAAACAGCTAGAAATCTAGCCCAAGTACAGTAAGGCCAACTCAGGCAAAGAAGATTGAACCAAATTAATGACATAGCACGGAACTTTCCAAGTTATTACCAAACCTTATAACTGAAAGAATCCTATTCTTGAAAAGAGTGATCAGCATCAGGGGCGGGCGGGGGGAACGGTTTTGTTTTGCTTGCCCTGCCAGCTTTTCTTTCTTCTGTGATTTCTTCTTTTTTTACCCAAAATAAGGGGAGGAGGCCGGGCTCGCATGGCTGAGACTTATTCGAGTCTTTTTTACAACCTGTTTCTCCTGGAAAAAGGGGGCGGGGACTTTTAATGAACATGATGAAAGTCGAGGATGCTCGTGGTCTCGCTTAGGGGTGTAAGTCGCTGACTTTGGTCTCTCTTAGGGTGTTCAAAACTATATTTACCCGTCAAGATATCTCTTAATTTTAAGGCTGCACTCGAAAAAATAAGAAAAAAACAAAAACAAACGCTGTCCTCTCCATTTTAAAGTTGTATCTTTTGGCCGGGACAAACAAAGCTAAAGCCACGCCCAGATTGTTATCCGTTAGGGGTTTAATTCAAATGTCCCGACGAGTATCCCCAACTTTTTCACATGGGGTCCCCGTGCATGGCTTTTCCCTTTTGGTTTACTAAGCTGATGGCTACCCCGAGAAATCCTTTCAATTAGTTCTAATTGATTATTTCCGCAAAGTTTGGACGCAAGCTAAACGGTCGGCACACATGAGGGGTNGGGATTGTTCGGAACTCTGTCCCTCTGTGCAAGTATACGACAAATGATGATAATTGGGCCAGGAGAGTCAACCTTCTCTGGTTATCGTAGTTTCGTCATACCGCGTGTCACTGCTTGCCTCCAGCCTCCTGTTGGCCGTCTTTCATATGCATCTATACACACTTTATTTTATGAATACGATAACTAATTAAAAGGAACTCCGAAACACTTCAAAAATTAATTTTATTGTAGCACGTAACACACAAATGCCTATAATTTAGGAGGCCATGATGACCACAGTGCTCAAACGTCTATAATGCTTTATGCGATTATACTGCTTCGTAATTGCCGTACTTTCTCGATTAGTAAACGATGGGTCTGCAGCGTAGGGTTGAAAATAAGCCCCACGAGTAAGTTATCTCAGAAATGGAAAGTTGCATGGCTGCCAGAATAAAGGAATAGAAACCCTTGCCTTACAAACAGAGAGCTTGAATAAAATGTAGGGGTCTTCGGTGGCAGATCTAGGGGAGGTGCCAATTTGGGTAAAAAAAAAAAAAATCGCAGAAGGAAGAAAAGCCGGTAGGGCAAGCAAAAATGAGTCTAAGTGCGAAACCATTCACATGAGAATGAGTTCCGCCTACAGGTTCATTTTCATGCAAATCAAACTCATTTTCATAAGAAACGTTTTGCACGAAGACTCGTTTTGAAACTGAGGCACAATTAAGGTAACTCAGAAATGGCCTTCGGTGAGTAAGCTAGTAAGCAACTTTATTCATAGAAGATGGTACGTAACGTTAAACATTGATTATTAAAAACTTTGGCAATGACCCCTGCTTATGAATTTGTTTATTCTACCTTTATGCATAAGAACGCTGCTAGCGCCTCTTCTTGTTTCGAGACGACCAAACAGTAGTTACGCAGTCGATGTACACAATTTCTCAATGTTTAGTAGCCATGACAGGTGGGGACTGGACCCCACGCTGGAGGCAGTTCTTGAACAGGGTGTACGCTTCTGACAACAATTGAAGGAACAAAACATGAACGGACTTAACTCAGTCATGGGCTCCTGGCTCTTCCCCATTCTCCCGCTCCACCTCCTCCCCCTCCCTCCAAACTAGCAACACAAAAACTGGCCCGTAAGATTAAAAATATGTTTTTTCCGCTTTTGTAGAGCGTCACTAAGGCTAAGGAATTATAGAAACCTTATACAGCTATAAAACACATACGACNCCACCTCCTTCCCCTCCCTCCAAACTAGCAACACAAACACTGGCCCATAAGATTAAAAATGTTTTTTACCGCTTTTGTAGTGCGTCACTGAGGCTAAGCAATTATAGAAACCTTGTACAGCTATAAAACACACACGACAACGGTTTTCGTTGAAATGGATTGCCATATGTCGTATCGTCATTTGTCCGCCTCTGTAGTTAAGGCCATATGTAAGCAGCTATACGAAGTAATTTCCTAAGACTGTAACGGACTTGATGATAACGATCTCTCGTCAAAACGTCATTTACTAGCACGGACAACGTGCCCCATGACGATTTGAAACCCTGACCCTGTGACTTCGTAGTTTCTTTTGTGACTTCCGCTTCCGGTTGAGGAGACAAAGCATTTACATTTTTAAACGAAACGACAAAACGTTTAAATTTCAAAGACATATTTCGACAGAACTGTACAGGATCGCAAATGATTCCCGACCGCAAATGATCCCGAGACCAGAAATGAT